CCCCACCACCATCAGGGTGTACAATGGTTTCATCTCTGCAGAAAAATATTTCTTATATTCCTGTATAGTCAGAACTTTGCCCCAACATAACACCAGAAACGTACAATTCTAGTCTGTTGTTGTAATCGACTTTTTAAGATTCCCTTTAAACATCAGAGCTCGCTCGCTCGCTCTCGCTCGCTCGCTCTCTCTCTCTCTCTCTCTCTCTCTCTCTCTCTCCCCCCTCTCCCTCCCTTGAGAGATTTTCACTTTATATTAATGCTATTGAAATTCCAAGTTCTACTTGTAGCAGTGAATTCCTTTGTTGTTGCTTCTTAGTCTGTTAGCTCTTATTCTAGACTTCCTGTGTGTCAGTTACCCATTTACTCATTGAATACATTGGGGATGGTTTGCAATTTTTGATCATTACAATTAGAACATTCATGTAAAGGGTTTTTGTTTGTGTGTGGGGTGTGTGTGTGAGAGAGAGACAGAGAGAGACAGAGAGAGACAGAAAGACTTCTAAGTTTTCATTTCTTCTGTGGAACCATCTAAAAGATGGGTTGATGACTTTCATAGTTAAATATATGTAGAATTTTATGAGACATTCCCAAACCACTTTTCAGCATGGTTTACTATGCTTCATTAAATTTTATTTGCTTTGCAAACTCACCCAAAAGTGGTATTGTTCTTATTTATTTTTAGCTATTTTAGCAAGTTGTGATATTTTTTCTTGTTTTATACAGCAGTTTTATTATTTATTATTATTATTTATGAAGTTTTAACTGTGGTGTGTTTCACGTTAAATTAACAACAATGGAGGTCTGTGTCTATGCTTTCCTAGGGTTTGACTGGGATTGTTAAATATGTAGATGGGTTGGGGAGTTGTTGCTGTCTTTTCTGTACTGGGTCTTCTGATCCACACCTATGATAGGTCTCTCCATTTAGTGGGGTCCTCTTGGGTATCTACTGCCTTGTTATGTAAGCTTCAGAATATAGATATCAAGACACTTTATAAGCATTGCAGTTAAAATCTTTTTGAAGTTGTTACTGTAACTTTTGGTTTTTGCTCAAGAAAACAAAAGGACACCTTCTTCCTGGGTGTCCGGCCCCTCTATGTCTCCTTGGCCCTTTTCATCTTCTGCTGCATCTGAGTTTTGAGCTGTGGTGAGTCCAACAGGGTAATTGGAGGGGAGAATAATTGAATCAGATGCTCCCTTTCTGTTATTCCAATTTATTCCTCAGATTTCTCACGCTGTTCTTCCGTGGGTTGTGTCTGTATTGGAGAAACCAAGTCGAGTGTGTTTCCTCATTTTGTGACACCAGAACCTGGACCAGTGTCTTCTGCTGCCTTAAATAGTTTTTAAAACATTAAAAACACTTGTTATCTATGAGAAGGCAGTCTACCTCCATGTCAAGATCTTGTAACGTCCTTCTCTTGTTTTCCTGACAAGAGAATTATAATGCAATTCTTTTCCCAGCCTGATTACCCAGTTATTATTTATAGTGAAAGTATTTATTAGGGAAAATTGTTTTTGGCTGGAGTAGTTGTAATTAAATACATTTTTTTTCTTAAAGAAGAGAAATCTTGGGATTGTATCTGAACAACTAGCTTTGACTTCTTTAGAATATCCTACTGTAGTCTTTATAAATGTTCTAGTGAAGTGAAAAAAATGCAGTTTTCTCTTTGTGTGTGATAAATTTGAATGTTAGACAATTTAAAATAAAAATAAAATTAAAGTGTAATTTAAAGGGGGGCTGGAGAAATGGCTTAGCAAGTAAAGGTGCATGCCAACAAGACCTACCTGAATTTGAACCCCAAAACCAATGTGGTGGAATGAGAGGTCCGACTCCTGAGGGCTGTCCTCTGATCTGCACACACCCATATGCCCACACGGCACACTAAAATTCAAATATAATCAAACTTTTTTTTTAAAGATTTTATTTATTTATTTGTTTGTTTGTTTATTATGTATACAGTATCCTGCCTGCACGTGTCCCTGCATGCCTGAAGAGGGCATCAGATCTCATTACAGATGGTTGTGAGCCACCATGTGGTTGCTGGGAATTGAACTCAGGACCTCTGGAAGAGCAGTCGTTGCTCTTTAACCACTGAGCCATCTCTCCAGCACCCATAATTAAACTTTTTAAATGTGCATGAAGAGACATAAGAGAATTTGTAGAAAGGCACTGCTCCTCTAACTTATGCAGAGTCTCTGACTTAAAACTCACTGCCTTAAAACCATCAATCTGTCTGTCCAGAAACCCAGTAGTGAGAGCATTAAGGGCTTTTCTATTGAAATTGGGTAAATACATTTTATTTTACATTTGTTGGCCACTCCTGTGTCTCAGGTTTGCTTAGGTATGCCACCTGCAAGCCAGACATTCTCAGTGTGTGTTTTAAATCATCTGTAGCCTTGCATGGAGATACAGGAGTTACATGGTTTCAGTTCTCCTCAGAGTAGCTTTGAAACTGAACATCTGTATAAGATCTATGAGGGCTATTCCATGTTCTTATATGGGGAGAGCAAAGCAAAGGGTAACTTGGTGTTTGAGATAAAGGGGGGAGGGGGCTAGCTGACCTGCTTTGACAAAAGTGGGTCAAAGTGTTCTGTCTCTTTTCTTTTAGAAGAAAAATATACCATAGCCCCCAAATTTGTAATCAGTATTTTTTGAAACACTGACTAATGTATGTTTCTTTTTTGCCTTATTTTGATGAAGGATAGGAGTCCTGTGCATCATGTGGTCATGACAAAGTGAGAGCAGAGACATTGAGGTCAGAAAGATCTACTTGAATCTGAGAGCTTTGTCATTAACATACTGCTTAAAATTTTTCCTGTTTTCTTGAAGAAGCAATTGATTTAATTGGTTCATAAGAATATTTGGTGATTGCAAGCAGAACATGTGTAAAATAACCCCAAACTGTGCCTAGTACATAGTTGTATAATTATTTAGAAGTAGCACCTTCACAAGAGGTGTCTCCTGGTACAACAGTGGCAGGACTATGTAGGGGGTCACCATCTACTCTGAAATGGCCTTTGAGGCTGTCTGTACTTGAGGAGGGATTATATGTTGGGTGCTGGAAACTTGGTCAAGCCTGTGGCTGGGGAGGTCATAGTCCCTAGGAAGGAATACATTACTGATGTTTTGCTAAAGGGACACATAGCCAAAACTGCCTTCTGAGTATCTATGTTTATACCCATAAGGTCAGTGGTACTCTCAGTTTGAATCAAGGAGACTTCCTTTTGCCCGGGGATAATGGTCAAAACAGAGACGCACGGATGGTCAGAGTGCTGAGAATATGTGACTGTCGAGTGCTAGTCCTGAGTGGAATGTCTACATCACTTCCTTCCAAGATCCAGCAAACATCACAGAAGAGAGGGTAGAAAGACTTAAGACCCAGAGGGTAGGGAGGAGCACAGCGAATCATTGTCTTCCGGACATGACACCGCTGCGGCAGTTAATAGACACATGGCATCTGTGGCCGCCTGAGCAACACTTGCACTCAGAGGAGATGTGTAAAATAGAAGAGGAGTTAGTAGGGAAGAAAAAGAGGTCAACAGAAGGGACAGTGGAATATGTAAGGGTAATGGGAGTAAATACGATTACAGCAAAATACGTACAAGTATGTCAGTATAAAATGTTTTAAAAAAAACAAGAATAAAAGAAATCTTGCCTTCCTAGTATGTTAGAGCCAAGAGGAAGTCCTTGAGTGGCCCAAGAGCTATTTATTTATTTAGTCAGCATCTTGGAATGCAGCCAGGCTGGCCTGGAGCTTAGATCTTCCTGCCTCAGCCTTCAGAGTGAAGGGAGTACAGATGTGTGCTTGTATGTCTGACCAGCTCAGGGGTTTCTGCAAGATCACTTGCTATTGCTCAGTCTTAATAGGTATTAAGGAACATGTTTATCTTAGTTAATATGGTGTACAGTCTGGGGTCCTCTGGTACAGTCCCAGGTCTGTTTATGTGTCCTGAGAGTTGAGATGACAAATAGGTTTAAGTAAGGTTTTGTCAGGGCAGGAGCCTCGGCTCTTTATGAAGATCATGACATTAGGATAGCATAGAAGACATACTTGTATTGGTTTAAATATTAAGGCAACTCCACGTAGTTAAAAGGGAGGTTTATTTTGTGGGGTAACTTACAAGTGAAGGGATAGGTAACAGGGTCTGGGGAAGGTGTAGCGCAGTCCAGCGGTGTTCTCTGGAGAACTCTGCTCGGTCCACACCCAGCGTCCAGGATCCAAGAACCAAGAGAGCTGGCCCATCCGGATCTCGGGTCTTCAGGGCTCCTCTCTCGGCTCCACCTTCTAGGTGAGACAGTTACCGAAGCCTCAGTGGGGTTGGTATTTCCAGGTCAAAGCTGGAGTGGCTACCCACTACATACTTGGGCATTCTGAACTCTAGGGTGAACTTATGAATTATGAAAGTGGTATACTGATAAGAGAAGTGGAAGAATAAAATATAACAGGTTAAGTAACAGTGGAAGGATTTCTCATTACATGTACAGAAGAAAACTCCTAGTTGACATCTGCAGTAGCAAGGTTTTGATAAAGAAACAGGATCCAGACTGTTCGTTAAACTGAAAATTCACATGAAGAGCCATTACCTGCCTGAAAGAGTGATTATGACATATAAGGAAACACAGGTACCCTAGGGTGAGGCCAGGTAGCCCTGGAAGAACAAACTCACGGAGGAGTCACACTTCCTTAGAGAAAGTACACATCCATGGGAAGCTTGATGGTTTGGTTTGGAGCGGTTTGACAAGTAGACAACTCTCCAGAGACCATCTGGGAAACAGGCCGTCAGCTACCAGTGGTGTGGACCGTGGTGGCTGCCCAAGAGCTACAGGCAAGCAGATGTCCTTCCCAGGGTGCTGGGTGGTGGAGATGGGCAAGGATGAGTGTGAGGAGGGACCTAAAAGAAGTGCTGTTCTGTGTGTGACTTTCCAGTCTACAGGCAGCAAGGCCTCAGTGTTACCTTGATACCAGCGCAAGCAGATGTCCTTCAGAGCGAGCGTACAAGCCTGTGAGGGTTCCGATGTCAATGTCAAGGTAAAGCAGAAGGATTACATTTTTGTGCCGGCCCCATGACTGGGCCAAGGTCTGTCCATGGATGGGGCAGGCTCTGCTGGAGGTCCCCTGTAACCACATCCCTCATGCGCCTTGCCACCCAGCACAAGGCTGACCGTTCAGTAAGCCTCCCTTCTGTGCCCTTTGTAAAAAGTTGAATGGCATGATGAAGTGATTGGAGCAATGTTAAAATGATTTGCGTATTTATCACAGGGTACTCATTAAAGGAGGGCGTATTTGGAGCTGAGAAGCGGCAAGTCGCAACACACAGCGTCTTTCATTTTGAAACCATGAAGGATTGTGTCAGCATATTGAATCTAGAAATGATGCAGAGGAGGAGTGTGACTCAGTTTGCAACCTTGCCCTTTGAAGTGATGATGTGTAAATCTTAGGATTTAGATAATATAAATCGTACTGACTGTCCACGAAGGACGCCCTGTGCTTTGATTATCACACCTCTGAGATCTGTGGAAAGCTGCCTGGGTTTGCAGTAGTTGGTTGCATTTTTGATAGTTGTCATGGTGATGGTATTTAGGGTTTTTGTTTAGGGGAGTGTCTTAGTTCTTTCCCTCTCTTCACTGACCACCTCCTCCCTTATCTAGCCTGGTAGATTGGTTTTTACCAAAACAAAATTTTGTTGAGTTTATCCTGGTCATCAAATGACTTTTTGTGTGTTAATACCCTTCAGTTTTCCAAGTTAATATCTTTACCGTATGTGAATCAGTTCTCACTTTGACTTGGTGGACTCCCAAACATTCGTGGTATCTATTATGTCCCAATTTCTTCAAATGATGTCTACCATGACTGATACTCATTTTTTGAGGTTTAAAGGTTTTATTTTTTACAAAGCACAGCAGATGCATACCCCCACCTTCATGCAGAGAGGGTACCACCCAGCTCCTGGACTTGGCATTAAGAAAAGAATGCCTCTCCAGAAGGGCTTGTACTGAGGCAGGAGCCTGTGAATACTGAAGTCCAAATGGGACAGAGCGGCTTAGGCCAGAGCTACAGTGTGTGCCGTCCCTGAACAGCTCACTTCCAGCTTTTTTTTTTTAGGAATCTGGCAAGCGCAGTTTGTCCTTAACAGGCTCCTTCAGTTGGAATGTGCCACAGACAGCACGCTTTCACATGCCCCTGATTTTTCTGCTTTCTGATCAGGTGTCTGTCTACATAGCCTTCTGTAACACTGCTCATCCAGTTCTCTACTTACGGTTTTCTGCTCATAAACCAAAGATAGAGTTTTTGGTGTTGGATCCTGCATGTGGGCTATAGAGATCCCACATTTCTCCTGGCACCATGAATGAAATTCACTTTCCGTCTCTCATCTTCTGGCCTGGTTCCTTTAACATTGGCCCTGTCACCCTTCAGTCATATTCTGGACTCTGTTGACCCTAGGGACTGTTTCTCCTCACAAGGTAACTGGCAAAGATCTGATAATTTGTTTCCCAAGAGAATAGTAAAGAGGTAGTGACAGAGGGTCATTCTGTGAGTTTCCAGGTTGCCTCCTCCTCCCCATCTTCCCCCCTTCCCCTTCTCCTCCCCCTCCTCCTCTCCTCCCTCCCCCGCCTTGTGGTTTTGGTCATTTCCTAAGCTCTGGCATTTCTGGCCTGCATGCTCTGTTGGTGACTTCCTCTACAGGTGAGCTCCTCAGGGAGAGGTCCAGCCCTAACTTCTGGAAGAGACTGTCAACTACTTCACAAAATATTGCACTTTTAGATTTTTTTCCCCTATTTTTTCCTTGAGATATTACTGAACTCATAAATTCTTTTCATTGAAAGCACAGATCTAGGTAAAACAGTTTGAAGTTAAATAAATTTTGACAAGATATATGATAGTTGGTGAATATGTCTTAGTTGGGGTTTCTATTGCTATGAAGAGACACCATGACAAGCCAACTCATAAGGAAAACATTTAATTGGGGTGGCTTACATTTCAGAGGTTCAGTTCAGTCCATTATCATCATGGTGGGACATGGCAGTGTGCAGGCAGACAAGGTGCTGGAGAGGTAGCTGAGAGTTCTACATCTCGTGCAGGCAACAGGAAGTGAACTCTGACACTGGGTGTGGCTTGAGCACATATGAGACCTCAAAGCTTGCTCCCACAGTGACATACTTCCTCCAACAAGGCCACAACTATTCCAACAAACTCCTAACAGTGCCACTCCCTTTGCGGGCCATTTTCTTTTAAACTGCCACAGAATGTAATAGCATGTTCCATGAAAAGGTCCAGTGTCCAGGGGCCTCTCTTCTTCAGGCGTACTCTTGGAAAACTTAACTCTGCTTGCCAAGTCAGCTAAACTTGTTCCTTGTATTTGGGATCCTTACATATTGAGAAGTCATACGTTTTCATTCTGATAACAGACTAGTGTAGCACGAATCTTAATAGGTCGTATTAATAAAATCAAACCCGAGCCAGGTATTGGGGTAAATACTGGAAGATCAGAGAAGCAGAACAAGCCACAGCTACCTCATCTTGCCAGTTCCTCAGCTGATCCTGTTTCCTCAGACTGGAAGCCTCTGAGTCCTCATCTGAATGGCTCTCAGCTGAACTGTTACTCAGAAACCTAAAAGCTTAACCAGGCTCTAGTTCCTGGTCTTCACACCTTATATACCTTTCTGCTTTCTGCCATCACTTCCTGGGATTAAAGGCTCACCTCCTGGGATTACAGGCGTGAGTGACCATGCCTGGCTGTTTCCAGTGTGGCTTTAAACTCACAGAGATCCGGATGGATCTCTGCCTCCCAAGTGATAGGATTAAAGGCGTGTGCTACCACCATTTTCTGGCCTCTATATCTAGTGGCTGTTCTGATCTCTGACCCTAGATAAGTTTATTAGGGTGCACAATATTTTGTGGAACACAATATCACCACAGACTAGCTTATTTCCTTTAGAACAATGGTTCTCAATCTTCATAATGCTGGGACCCTTTAATACAGTTCTTTATATTGTGGTGACCCTCAACCATAAAATTACTTTGTTACTGCTTCATAACTGGAATTTGCTGCAGTTTTAAGTCATAACGTAACCATGTAATATGTGGTATATCTGATACGCACCCCTTGTGAAAGTTTTCAACCTCCAGGTTGAGAACTGCTGCTTTAGAAGCTAGTTTTGAATGCAGCTTTGAAATTACACATATATATTTTAATTTGTCATTTTACTAACTCCAAATGCCAAGGGATTTCTCTAAGTCTAGCCATGTATTTTCAACATTTAAGTGCCTTATAGATGTATGTTTTTAGGAATTTTAAAATGATGTTATAGTATTCCCACCTGCGTGAGGCTGTGGTGGAGATACTGTTTACTGTCCATGGGAGAGTTTTATGCCCTGAGTGGTGGATTATGCTCAGTGTAGCCACTCGAGGGTAAGAAAAGATTAGTGGCTGTATGCAATAATATGTTTAATAAAACATAATGAATGAATAGATATAATCAATAACAATGCCATGAGGAAAAATGAATTATTAATTTATTTTGATTTGTTAAATTTGGGGGAAATTGCATATTTTTTATCAGTATATACTTTGCCATGTAATAACTCTCCTTTCATGCTCTTCTGTATACATAATAGTCTCTTGTTGGAGAATTTTATTTATATCCTCTAAGCCCTCTGAGAACTTCAAAATATTATGTTATTTTTTAAAAAAATCATAAAGAATTCCCTTTTAGAATGTTATTGTAAAGGAGTAGTTTTAAAAGGGATATCTTAAAGTAGTAGTTTCCTTTTCAAAATAAACATATTTGATTACTTGATACGTGGAACCCACTTTCCCTAGAGACAGAGATGAGAAGAGCCCTAGAAGGAAGTGGGTTTGGCGAAGACTGGCCACTGTGATAAGTATTGCTCACAATTTGCTTTTGTTTTTATTGGCTCCTGTTGTTGGCATTGACTTAAATGGCTTTAAGTCTCATATTCTTTTCTTAATAATACTAAATCTCAAAACACTAGTACTTGTTGGGTGGGGAAAAGATTTGTGAGATTTACAGCGTCTCTGGCTCCGACACACAGGGCTGACATAGGAATATCTTGCAGCCTGAGGAATCTGTGGGTTCCAGGCCTGCCCCGTGGCCTGTTCTCTCTCCTTCCTTCTCTGTTCTTGGCATTGCTTGGCAGTGCACACCTGGCTGACCAGTGGAATGTGCGAAGTGGTATGCAATCCTCTGGGCCATCGCTGTGCCTAGCAAAGGGTCACTGAAGTGTCACAGTTCTAAATACGGTACTGGGAAATTCTTCAGGAGCATCGTCCTGATTTCTGTGTGCCCTCCTCATGCCATGCTGCGTCATTCTTTTGCAAAACAATGTCATGAAATACCTGTAAGTGCATACAGGGTTTCCTTTTCCTCAGGACCTGGGCCTGCGCTTGCTGTAGAATACCTCTGAAACTCCAGGTCATTTTCCTCCCTTGAGGTCCACAGTCTTGAGACAAATGGCATTCTCTTTTCTATCTGTTGTGTGAGTAATGGCACACACCGTGGAAGGATTATAACCACAGTGTAAGAACAGGCATTGCTGGCACCAGGATGCCTGGGGCTCAGTCTTTACCCTTCAGCTGAGGTGTGGGTTTCTCATCTCAGAGGGATCGGGTACTTTACAAAGTCAGGTGATTCTTTTGTTTAACAAACAGAGCTTGCCATTGTCTTCCTCATGTCCCTTCTGTCATTTCTAAGTGTGTATTACCTTGTCCTTCTAAGTTGGAAATCACATGATTTGGGACAGGTTCCTATGAATTATGAGGAAGTGTTTAAGCAGTTTATGTACAAGCTGTTCTTAAAATGCCCATTAAAACTTCATAGTATTAACACATGCACACACCCCTGTGGTTGAATTGAAAATTGCTTTTCTAGTGGTGACATTAATGACGTCTGCACTTCATAGCAGTTTAAAAAGCAGTGTTCTACTGGGAGTGATTGAGCATTCCTGTAATTTCAGCCACTCACGAGGTGGAGGCAGGAGAGTAGACCAGTGTGGGCAATTTAAGGGAG